CAAATAGGTTTAATAGACATGTATTTACCATTATAACAGAGTTTATGTTGCATTCATTTATTGCTGTTCTTTTGTCAGAATTTTAATAATTGGTAATGAATTTTCTTTGGAGTATTAAAATATTTAATCTTGAGTTTTTTATGCTGATAAGAAGTTCATAGGTAAACAGACAAAGGAAAAATATTTTCTTAAGAGTGTGGTTGATATCAGCCAATTAAAACTGCATGATATCTTAAGATCAAATAAATGAAGTTTTAAATTAATCTTTAAGTGAAAATAATAAGAGTTAATGAATGCTCACAAAATTATAGGTTTGTAGGGATATGATGGGCTTTTGACAGTCATTCTCTTCATTTTGTAGATGAATAAAAAGACATTGACTTAGTTGCTTACTATATATGTGTCTTTTGGCAAGTTACTCAGTCTTTTTGAGTACCATTTTCTTCATTTTTAAAATGGAGATCTCAATAGCACCAACGTTGTAGCATTCTTAAGAGGACTAAATGAGATATAAATAAAACAGTAAAAACAGTTCCTGATCCATGATAAACTTTGAATAACTGTGGAGTACTGTCTAAAGGCTAGAGGGAGTAATGGGTTGGGGTTTGATTATGAATGTTATGAAGTTAGAACTCACATTTGATGAATTTTGTCCAATTCGTAGACTTTTGTTTATTGTACCATGCTAATCAGTTTTTCTGTTTATGTCTGGTAGAGTAATCTCACTCTTCATGTCCTTGGATTTGTGCCCTTATGATCTTACAGTCCAGCAATTAAGGAATTGTTCTGCCTTCTCATTCTTCTCCCTTGTCTCTTTTCCTCCCTGATCCGTTTGAATGCCAGGCTGATGTGCCCTACACATTGTTGACTTACCAAAAATGTACAGTAGCAAGGGGAGGCAGGACTTCCAGTTTCTACATAGCTACCCCATCTATGCCATTCTACATTCAGATAAACTAAGTTACCCTTTTATGGTTTTTTTTTATTTTTGAATCTTCATGTAAAGATATATTTTGTGGCCTAAAGAGGACTAAATAAAGTTGGTTCTTCTTTTTTTTTTTTAAATAACCTGTGAAATCCTTTGTGCCTCTTGAGTTACAAAAATCATTGTTAATTTGCTGCTGTGCAGGGCAGTTTGGCTTGGGAAAACTGCTAGTGTTACATGTTTTTTAATTTTAATCTTATTGTTTTGAAGCAAGTATTGTGATATAAATTCTTGGTGGTCATATTGTACTTTTTAATCTGTGACTGTTTGAATTTTTATAGAAATAGAATATCTATTCTGGGTATTTGTGATTGTAAGCCATATACTGAAAGTATCAGTGGGGAAATTTCCTTTAATTTCTATCTTATATCATTTTAATGTCATTAATAGGCAGCATAGCATAGTTGGTGGTTTAGACCAGTGTTTCTCAATCTTTTTTCTCTATTACCCACCCCCGGAGCCTTTCTGGATTTTTTTTCCCCAGTGGCCTTGACCTCCATAAAGTTTTAACTCCACAGATATACTGTTTATCTGCTTATGTATTATATGTATATCTGTGTTTTATACATGAAGAGTAAGGGTTTTTTTGGTGCCCCCTTCCCCCAAAGAATCAGTGTTTGCCTTCTTAATGTGCTGCTACCTGTATTGGGAATGCAAATTTTACAGCAGTGGATTCTCAAAATTTTTGGTTTCAGGACCTTTACATTCTCTAAAATTATTGACGACTATGAAGAGCTTTTGTTTATGAGGGTTATATTTAATGATATTTATCATATTACAAATTAAACCTGAGAAAAAATTTTAAATAATTACTAATTCATTTAAAAATATTTTATGAAAAATATCCACCCCCACCCCTTTAGTGAGAAGAGTGGAATTATTAACACATTTTTGTACATCTCTCTAGGGTCTGGCTTAAAAGCAAGATTCTCATAGTTGCCTCTGTGTTCAAACTGTTACAATGTTATAAAGAAAATCTGGGTTCATATGTAGTTAGAACGGGAAGGATATTTTAATAAACTTTTCAGATGATAGAGGTTGTTCTTCTTTGCTATTACATCAAAATATGACAACTGGTAGTTTCTTAAAGGATAGTTGCAGTGTGGCACCTGAAACCATACAAAACTTCTTTGTCCTGTTATGTTGAAATTCTTTGGTCGTTCAGTTTGAATAAATTTTTTGTTTATGAATAATTTTGTACCATCATACATTGGTCACTTGGAAAATATTGGTTCACTGACTTCTGAAGATCTTTCAGATGTCAATACAGTATCAACCAATCATAAACTCTCAAAATATTGGAAGATGCTTGTCAAACCTTTTTTCGTTTGAATGCTTGAATGCTGTCCTTGGTAGTGAATACTATTAGTTGTTTGAAGTGACAGGTGCACCTCAGTCATTTTTAAGAAAATGTCTGTCATATACTCTAGTATAAGTAACCAGTTTATGAGTCATTCTTTCAAATAAAAAAACATGTCCCTTGAAAAAGGTAACTTGGTCAGCTCATAACTCGAACAGTTGCACAAATTCTTTTTCTTTAGTCATTATACTTCTCTGTGCAGCAGGAGTGCTTTGTGTGTGCTTCCCAGTTTGTCACACAAAACGTAACAAGATGTGTGTTCAGGGTCAAGAGCATAGGAATGAAGAATATGACTGCAAATACAATTTGGTGCTACTGCTTTGATTTGGCTCATTGATAAGGCTCCAGCTGTTTTATCCACCACTGCTTTTGCACCACTAGTGTGCTCATGCCTATATGGCGAAAAAGGCAAGTAACTCCTTAGTGTTATCCTAAAAACAGTTTTGATCTCTGTAGGGGTCCATGGACCACACTTCGAGAACTGCTGGCTTAGAATGTGGACTTTGGTGGAGCCACACACAAAGTTGTCTGGATTGGATCTCACTTGGCTCTATCACTTATTAATTAGCTACATGACCTTGAGCGATTACCCGTAATAACAAAACCAGACAAACATTTTATATATATATATATATATATATATATTTTTTTTTTTTTTTTTTTTTTGGACCGGTAAGGGGATTGTAACCCCTGGCTCGGTGTCGTCTGCACCACACTGAGCCAGTGAGCATACCGCACCGGCCATCCCTATATCCGAACCCGCAGCCTCGGTGCTATCAGCACAGCACTCTCCCGAGTGAGCCACGGGGCCAGCCCAAACATTTTTTTTTTTTTTCAAAGCTACACACCAATATCACTCATGAATATAGGCAAAAAATAAACAAAATATTTGACATTAGCTTTTCTATGCCATCATTATTATGTTTTAATTTGATATGTACGAGGCTACAGGAGAGGGAGGGATGTGAAGTAGTATATATTTAAAGCTGGGTGGCAAAGATTGGATTCTGAAAAACTGTCGTATGGAATAGAAAGATGCTTGTCAAAATACCAAATTGTAGGGGCTGAGCCCGTGGTGCACTCGGGAGAGTGCGGCGCTGGGAGCGCAGCAGTGCTCCCGCCGCGGGTTCGGATCCTATATAGGGATGGCCAGTGCGATGCGCTCACTGGCTGAGCGTGATGCGCTCACTGGCTGAGCGCGGTGCGGCCGGTCACAAAAAGGACAAAAAAAAAAATCCCAAATTGTATTTCTAGCCTAAAGGTCTAAATATCCAGCAGTTTCAGGTTATTTTTTAAAGGCAAATGTTAACCTTGCTGCTTTGTTTTGTAATCCAGTCAAGTTATTCCTCTTGGCTCTGAAATTTGCATTAAATCCTCCTCACTCCTTAATAGTCTTTTCAAATAATTTAGATGAAGAAAAATCTGGTAATAGTAAGCTTTCCTTTGGTTTTTATGAATTCAAGAAAATTTCAGTAGCAAAGCATTTTGCTCCTTTGGTTGTTAGTCTCATTCTTCATGATCTTTGAACATAGGTGCATCTGAAATACACATACACCCATTTTGCAGTAATCTTCATTTAGGAGATTGTTGTTTTTTAATAAGAAAGAGCCTGTTACTACCTTCTGTCATGTTATTCATGCCAAAGAACCAGTTGCTTTATGGGAGAAATGGCACATGGGGTTCTTCCATCTGCTGTAATTGATTATTGACTTCCTGTGGTTCCCAAACACTTGCTTAGTACCAGGATCACTTGCCTTTTGACTGAGGCTTCTGTCCTATTAGTTTTTAGTTTTTAAATTTTGAATATTGAAAAATTCCCCATTAGGCAAGTAGTATCTTCATTTTAGAGAATTTTAAAAGTACAGAATAGGTACAAATCAGGAAAAATAAATAACCATTAGCTTTGCCATCCTTGGATATCTTCTTCCAGAAAGATTGAACCAATTTCTTTTTTTTTTTTTTTTTTCCTTTTTTGTCTTTTTTCGTGACCGGCAACGGATCGCAACCCTCGTTGTTGCGCCTGCACCTCGCTCAGCCAGTGAACGGGAACCGGTCTGTATGTGGGATCCAAACCCTCGGCGGGAGCGCCGCCGCACTCTCAAGCGGCGCACTGTAGCAGTGCGCCACCGGGCCGGCCCCCAATTTCTTATTTCACCAGCATTCTGCCCAGTTTTTCATATCTTCAGCAGAGTTGATATTATTTTAAATGCTTTTTAAACAGAATAAATTATTCAAGTTAACATGTGAACTTCGAACAAAAGTTTAAATGCCTAGAAAGTAACATATAGCAAGACTTATGATGTGTGTTTCTCATTACTAGAAAAATCCAAACTGAATTAGACTTAATGGGTTTTCCTTAATCTTCTGGTGGTGTGAAGTCTTCAAAACAGATACCTTTTCTAGGAGTTCTTTGTACTTTCTGAACCAGTACAGACCTGCTCGTGTAGAGTGGGGTTGGAGATAAAAGTTCAGTGTGTGTCTTTTTTGTCTTTATTTTTTCTCTCTTAATTTTAGCCCTAGGTCTTGGGACAGCTATAGAGTGGTTGAGGTGGGGGAGTGTATGTGGGTTTTTCCTTTATTATATAAAGCAGATTTGGATAGTGTGTGATTGAAGTTTTATGTATGAGTTCTTTGCTAATTCTATATAAATTTCAGGTGTGCAACAGAGGAACATGGCGCAAGAAACTAATCACAGCCAAGTGCCTATGCTTTGTTCCACTGGCTGCGGATTTTATGGAAACCCTCGTACAAATGGCATGTGTTCGGTGTGCTATAAAGAACATCTTCAAAGACAGAATAGTAGTAATGGTAGAATAAGCCCACCTGGTAAGTAATTCTCTTAAAACACAGCAGTATTCATAATTGAAACACACTCGTGTGGCCCATTGTACCTAGGACCTTTTTATTTTATTTATTTATTTTTTTTAAAGATGGCCGGTAAGGGGATCTTAACCCTTGACTTGGTGTTGTCAGCACCACGCTCACCCAGTGAGCTAACCGGCCATCCCTATATGGGATCCGAACCCGTGGCCTTGGTGTTATCAGCACCACACTCTCCCGAGTGAGGCAAGGGCCGTCCCCCTAGGACCTTTTTAACACCTTTTTCTGCTCTCACATGGTATTTGCATTACCACATTACATTAAAATTTCTTATTACACATTGTGATGATTAGTGGTGGGGAGTCAGGAATAAGAGTCTATTCACTCATTGAAAATACTGTAAATCCATTCCAGTTTTACTTGCTATACTGTAGAACTCTATTACCTTATTAAAATAAAGGCACACCTCAAGTACATAAGGCTATCTTGGAAAGTAAGGTAAGGAAGTGAGGGCTGTATGAGGAGCTAGGTTCTATTATATCAGGTGACTTTTGCAGCCAAGGTAATTTTTGAAGGAAAGAGTGGATTGTAGGTGGCCACAGCTGACTTTAGAGAAAGCTTTCTCCATTAGGAAGGAGGCGGGGTATAGCCAGTTACCTCAGAGTAAGGGATGTTAAACCCCAGTTCACTAGAGTTTTTAATGCCTTTTTGTGTCAAAGGATTTTCCTGAAATTGAGGTGGTCTTTTGTTTAGGTAGTTGTGTAAGAAAGATCATGTGGATTCTGAGTATAAGTTTTGCAAAAGTAAAGTGTCAAAAGTATTCATCTAGGATAGTCCTCTTGTAGTTTAATGCCTAAATACATAGATTTTTGTGGTTAATGAAACTCAGGTTGTTACTTAGTTCATTTTAAATTTTGTATGAAGTCTTTCTTGTCTTTGTTTCATGTTCAAGCCAAAACTAGAAACATTTAATTAAAACTTCTCCAAATTTCTTTAAGGCTAAGATTAAATGAGTATAAATCGTTTTTAAATTAAATCATCATTACATGTCTGCTTTATGAAGTACAAGGAAAATAACATAACGTAATGTGCTGATCACAGATTTTAATTCTGAATCTGTCAGTTTTACTGATAAATTATTTTTTAAAGTGTGTTATTTGAACAGTAACACTTGTAATATGTTTGTGAATTAAAGGATTTGGGTTTGGGTGATATTCAGTTCTGAGAAATAGGAGTTTAGGTTATTAGTATACAATTTGTATACAGCTTCCTTCTTGGTTAAAATTAACATATTTTTTAATTGGCAAACTATTGAAAAATTTTAGCTAAAAATAATGAACCAAACATATAGTAAAACAAAATTCATATACTATATTTTGTGGAAGATTGATCTTGATTCTTTTAGATAAAATCTTAGAATGCCCAGAGTATAGAGTCACTAATATGAAATGTGATACTGTTACAGCAGCTTCTGTCAGTAGTCTGTCTGAATCTTTACCAGTTCAGTGCACAGATGGCAGTGTCCCTGAAGCTCAGTCAACATTAGACTCTACATCTTCATCTATGCAGCCAAGGTAAGATGTAGTCTCTGAATTACAATTGGAACGCTAATGAAAAATGAACAATACAGGTTGAGCATCTCTAATCCCCAAATCCAAAATCCTTCAGAACCTGAAACTTTTTGAGTGCTGATGTGGAGCTCAAAGGAAATGGTTGCTGGAGCATTTTGGATTTCAGATTTTTGGATTAGAGATGCTCAACTAGTAGGTATAATGGAAATATTCCAAAATCTGAAAAAATTCGAAACCCAAAACATTTTTGGTCCCAGGCATTTTGGATAAGGGATACTTATATTCTATTTTTGATCAACTCTATTAAGGAATACTATGTAAAGCAACTGTAGGATTAACTGGTCTAAAATTGTATCCGTCTGATTATTTTTTGCTAGTTAGAAAAAGCTTTTTATTGTTTTTAGATTGTGGGATATTGGGGCTATCTTTTAAGATTTCTCTTTCAGGGCCGGCCCGGTGGTGCACTGGAGAGTGCGCCGCTTGGGAGTGCGGTGGCGCTCCCGCCGAGGGTTCGGATCCCATGTGGAGACTGGTTCCCACTCACTGGCTGAGTGCGGTGCAGGTGCAACACCGAGGGTTGCGATCCCGTTGCCGGTCCCCGGTACGGGCGTGACACCGAGGGTTGCGATCCCGTTACTGGTCAGTAAAAAAAGACAAAAAGGAAAAAAAAAAAAAGATTTCTCTTTCAAACATCTTTTCCTTTATTCTTCCTCATAATATATCCTGACCCACTCATGGCATCCTTTTGAAGCATGTAAAGTTAGTTCTTTAAATTTAAGTCTTATTCTGCAAGCATAAGCATTTTGTGTTTAAAAAAGTACAGTCTTGTCGTAGGTTCTCTTTGTTTAATATCATGATGTAGTATTCATATTTGTTTGTATCAATATATTTTTCTTTTTAACTTTGAAGTCACATTTTTTAGAAGCCTGCATACAGAAATGTTTGTTTCATTTTTATTCTACTATTAGGAACCAATATATCAAGTATATACACTATAGTTCCTTTTTCCATTTCGTTATAGGAGATATTCAGGTCTACTAGGCCAGAATATCATTTACATCTTTGCATGAGGATTCCTTAAACACATTTTTATCTGAACACATCTTTATACTAGTTTTCATTTAGTAAATTCATGTGATGCTTGAAATACACAAAGGACACACACTCTTTGTTTTGTTTTCTAAGCAATAAACTTCTCGTCCAGATTGTCACTACTTTCCAAGCTCTGTGATTATGTGTGAGTTATAAGAGAAATATTTGTGTTCTTGTATTAATGATCTACCTAGACATGTTGAACTCTTAGTTATTATATCACATTAGTTAATATTTATGTGTGGAGATCATCTTTTAAAATCAAAATATTTTTGCTTTTCTAGCCCTGTATCAAATCAGTCACTTTTATCAGAATCTGTAGCATCTTCCCAAGTGGACAGTACATCTGTGGACAAAGCAGTACCTGAAACAGATGATCTGCAAGGTTTGCATATGAACTAGCATGTATTTTGTCATTTATTTAACATTTGAGTATTGTAGGCCAGATACTATCCTAAACACGTGTATCAAAAAATGCCTGCTTAAAATAATATTTTATATCCTCAGGTACTTAACTGAAATGTTGGTAGCGAGTTCCCACTTACATATAATTATATCATCTGCATAAACATGGAAAATTCAAAATTTGTCTTTTATTGAAAAATATAATTCAGTGAACATGTGACAGTGTTATACTGTTATCATTTATTATTTTATCTGGTTTAATTTAAAAACTATTTCCTCTCCAAGCAAACGGGGGCTGCTGGTATGAGGGGAATTCATTTCCCTGGTCTTTTGACTCAATTATCTGAGAGACTATGTACAAATTGGCTGGCAGTCACTCCTCTTTCCCCATCTGTGACTTAAAGTGCAGTAGTCATATTCAGTTACTTGTGTTTACAGCATGGTATCTCACATTCTTGCCTATGCTCTTTATATCTCCATTATGTGGATTAAAGTAATCTAGAAAGACTTGAAAATTTGTATGAGGGCTTTCTTAGTGGAGAGAGACAGTGCAGAGGTAGCCACTTAGGAGAATGTTAAATAGTCTCTGCTTACTTAGTTATACTGGCATTCTACCAGTGTGTGGAAACAATGTGTTAATCGAGGAATGATACTCTGGAAAGCCAAGCCCAAGGATGAGCAATGTGTATTCTGTCTATGGAATGATTTAAGGAGAGAAGATACCCTGACCAGTGAAACTTTCCATTGTACGTGGTGTTCCTATGGTGGTGACAGATACATGTGGCAGTCTTAGTTTAATTTTACTAAATTTTAAATTTAGGTAAGCTAGCTAATTCCCCTTGCTTTGATTTCATGCCCAACAAGTGCTTGACATAATTTGTCTATTTGTGTAGATTTTGTTATATAGTAAGAGACTGTACCATGTGACTGGCATAAATATTCTAGTCCTCTTAGCGTATTATAAATTCTTAAATATTACGTGAACAATTTTTATTTTTTAGATAAATAGAAAAATTTAAAGAAGGGCAGAGATGAGGGATATTTTAAAAACAGAAATAGAAAAAAACCTCAAGATTCAGTTATCCACTGGACATGGGAAAGAAATAAGAAGACAAGGAGGGTGTCAAAACTTTCAGTTTTATCATAATGGCATTGGTGTGGTTGCTTCCAACAGGGGGGCTGAGAAAGGTAACGTAGTTAAACAAATTTTAGATATAGTGAGTTGGAAGTGATCAAATTTCAAAATTGAAAGAGCTGATTTGGAGGTTATAGGTAGTAGCATTTAAATGTGTGGAGTGATCAGTATTATGCCTGAGATTTGGAAGTCCTTGGCATAGGTTGAAAAATTAGAGTTTCAAAACAAAAGAGCAAGCAGGAGGATGAGCCAGGAAAGAAATGGGAAGAAATCATCTAGATCCTGGTTAGTTTCAGGCCATAGATGCCAAAAGAGAATTTCTAGAAGCAAGGATTGCATAGCAGTTTTGAGAGAGAGAGAGCGAGATACATTAGGAAAGAAGAAAACAGGCTGCTAATCATGATGTTATTTATCCCTAATGATAGAAAAAATTGTAGAATGCTGGTAGTGAAAAAGTGTGTAAAGATAAGTTTAAGGATACAATAGCAAATGTACAAGTCTGGCAAAAGAATAAAGGTTGTGGGTTGGTGAACTGTCATAATAAGTGCTTTTATACCATTTGTGGCATATGGAGAACAATATAGTTTTCTCCACATAGGCCTGAGTATATTAATTCAAAAGGTGGTCATGCTGCCGTATTAGGAGAAATTGTAGAGGGTTTGAAAAATTTATAGACTCCTTTTTAATGTATGACTTGAATAATTTTTAGGTTCAACCAGTATTAACTTTTAAGTACCTTTAAAAACTTTGCACTCATAATTTCAGCATTGTAGAATCTTTGACAAATCAGGTGTAAGTTTTATCCGAGTTTAAAAGAGCGTTCATTTTCAACATGTAAAATCTCTTTTAACAGCCTAGTTTCAAAAAATGTTTTAACTTACATTGTTGAATTAAGAATATCTTCTTTTATTACAAACACACAAATACAAATTGCATGTGTATGTGTATATGTACATACACGAGAGTACTTCAAAAAGTTTGTGGAAAAATGGAGTTAAAAGATAATGGGCATCTTTCCATGAACTTTTTGAAGACCCATCATTGACACATATATACACATGCATGCATTTATGATTTCCCTGTTTGATAAGAACAAATTCAGAGACTTAAAAATCTATTTAATAGATGGACGAAAAGAGATAAAAAGAAAACGTCTCTTTGACTCAGTTATATGGTCATTTGAGTTAGAACTGGAACCCAGTCACCTGACTCTAGGCCAGTACTCTTTCCACTAGACAGTGGTACTTGATGGACTTGGATGTGGATGTGTGTGTTCCTGTTGACACACCTAGCCCCCCTCAGTTCCCAGGGTAGGATCAACTGGTTTGGCAAGCTGACCCAGTATCTGTTTTCTTCCTTCAAGGGAAGAATGTGCTTCCCTCACGGGAAATTTTCTTATCTTTTCTTCTTTTCCTCAAGAGAAATTTATTTAGATAGGAAGACCATCCCAGATGGAAGAGGGTATATGAGTAACAGATGTGTGCCTAAGCCAGCATTTCCTAACGCTTTTTATTAGAGTTTTCCCAACAGCTTTTTTCTCTGCAGGTATTCTGCTTATAATTAGGTTAGGATGCCACCAGGTGAGTGGTACTGTTTTCATATTGGCCTCATGGCTCTGAAGAATTTTTTCTCATGTTTAACTAAGAATTTTAGCATAATGTAGTATGTTTCCAATTTGATTATGCTTTTTAATTTTAAAAAGTAGCCGTACCTCACTTAGGAATGTTAGTTGTATTGTCACTTAGGAATGTTAGTCATATTTCCAGTTCACAAATACTAGCTTTAAAAAAATACTTTTAACAGTTGTGGTGTACTCTAAACTATCATACTTGATTGGCTTCCTTATTGAACAATATCCTTTGGTTAACTTCTTAATCCCTCAGATCTTGGGTCATAGTAAAAAGAATGTGGAATTTAGATTCAGAAGTTCTGTCTTTATAACTTGACTATAAACTCAACTTTTCTGAGCCTTATTTTTATTCCTTTTAAAGGAGAATAATAACCCTGTTCACCTTATAGGGTATTAAAAGTTATTGAGATAATGGAGGTGAAATAGTCTTCGTAAACTACGAAGGGTATTTTTATTCTATATAATGCCAAAGTGATTTAAGAGTTATAGGAGACATAGAATAAGAGAATTTTGAAGCTTTCCAACAGTAGAATGAAATCTGTGTTAAGGTGGTAAGCTCTATATCACTGAAGCATTTTAGGACAGCTGTTATTTGTAGGAACAATGTACAGGGAAATGCTGTATTTGGTGGCAGGATGAACTAGAATTCTCAGATTCTTCCAACTGTGAGGGTTCCTGACTCCATACAAAGTTGAATTGTCAAATCATTTGTTCAGAGCAGTCAGAGGGGAACAATCCCTTTGGACTAATTTAGGAAAGCTGTATGGGTTAAAAAATCAGGGATTACATCTTTGAAGAGTGGGTGAGAATAGCCAAAACAATCTTGAAAAAGAACATCAAAGTTGGAAGATTAACAATTCTCAATTTCAAAATTCAATACAAGCTATTATAATTGAGACTGTGTAGTATAAGCATGAGATCATATAGTGGAATAGAAGTGAGAGTCCAGAAATACACTTATATTTATGGGCAGTTGATTTTCATCAAGGGTGCCAAGGTCATTGACTGGGAAAGAAATAATCTTTTCAACAACTGGAATATACTGGGACAACCTCATATCCACATTCAGAAGAATGAACTGGACCCCTGCCTCTTAACATATACACAGACCTAAGTAAATGTAAGAGCTAAACTTATGAAACTTAAGTCTTAAAAGAAAATAGGTGTAAATTTTTGTGACGTTGGATCAGGCAGCAGTTTCTTACCTGTCACACCTGAAGCACAGCAACTAAAGAAAAAATAAATTGAACTACATCAATTTCTCCAAAGAAGATATACAGGTTGCCAATAAGCACATGGAAAGACACTCAACATCATTAGTCATTAAAGAAATACAGTTCAAAACCGTGATGAGATACTACTTCACATCCACTAGGATGGATATAATCAATAACAAGTGTTATCAAAGATGTCGAAGTTGGAGCCCTGTACATTGATGGCAGGAATGTAAAATGGTATAGACACTTTGGAAAAACAGTCTGGCAGTTCCTCAAAACGTTAAAAAATGGAATTACCATATGACCTAGCAATTTTAATCTTAATTCCCAAAAGAACTGAAAACAGGTGTCCATACAAAAACTTGTACACAAATGTTCATAGCAACATTATTCATAATAGCCAAAAAATGGAAACAATGCAGGTGACCATCAGCAAATGATTGGTTAAACAGACTGTGGTAAATCCATGCACTGGAATACTATTCAGCCACAAAAAAGAAGAAAATTTTGATACATGCCACAGCATGGATGAAACTTGAAAACATTATGCTAAATGAAAGAAGCGAGATACAAAAAGCCACATATTGTATGATTCCATTTATATGGAATGTCTAGAATAAGCCAGTTCATACATACAGAAAGATTAGCCATTGCCGGGAGATGGGGAGTGATTGCTAATGGGTATGGGGTTTTGCTTTAGAGTGACTAAAATATTCTCCATTTAGATAATGGCGATGATTTCACAACCTTGTGAATATATTAAAAGGGTGAATTGTACACTTAAAATGGTGAATAAATTTACGATGTGTGAATTACATCCTCTACCACCACGCCCCCAAAAAGAAAGATAACGAAGAGGGTTCTTACTGGAGGAAAAATTGTGAGAACAAAAGCGTTCAGGTAGGAAAACACAAGACTTGGGAAACAGTGAGAAGACCAGTTGCTGAAGTGACCGGTTCAGACAAGTATATATTGGAACTAAACCTGGAAAGGTTGTTTGGAACCAAATAATGGAAAATCACTAAGTGATGAGGGTACTTCAAAAAGTTCATGGAAAGATTCCTGTTATCTTTGATTATCTTTGAATTCTGTTTTTCCGTGAACTTTTTGAAGTACTCTAGTATTTAGTTCTAATCAGTGAGGAGAGTCATTTTGAAGGTTTTTTCCTTTTTCTTTTGTTTTTTTAAGATGACACAAAGTTGTGTTTTAGGAAGATTATTGTAACACTTGTTTACCCCCAGATAGCCGTTAACAGAAACTGATGTCATTTATATAGCTGCTTTGTCCCCACTATGGTGACAAATTGCCTCATGTGGCTATTGAGCCCTTGAAATGTAGCTAGTCCAAAATGAGATTTTTAGTACATATTTATGTGCTGGTTACACTGTAAGTGTAACGTATACATTGGCTTTGGAAGATTTAATACCCATCCAAAATGTAAAATATGTAATTAATACTTTTAATACTGATTACATTTTGAAGTGATAATATGTTAATTTTACCTGTTTTCATTTTTTAATGTGGCTGCTGGAAAATATGTAATTAAATATGATTCATATTTCTTTTAGATGCTGCTACTAATACAAGTATATTTTTCTCTTGGATATTTAAAATCTTCTCATTTTGTAGCCTCTTTGAGCTAGGAATAGGCTAAAGTTCATTTGGTTCACGCCCTCATTTTGCATGTAAGAAAATGAGGTCCAGAGAGAGGAAATTAGTTTTATCCCAATCATTCTTTGTAAAAGTATGCATTCATTTGACAAGTGTCTATTGAGCACTTGCTCTGTATCAGCACTGGGTATACAGAAGTGAGCAGAAATAGTCACCAACCTCAAAATGCTTAGCCAAATTCTTGAATGAGGAGTCTTATCACGACTGTTTGACGAAAGGATATATATTATGTTACATAGATATCATATCTACTGTCAAGACCAATTAGATATATTAAGATTATGTTTGAGGGTGACCTATTAATTTCATCTTATGTTCAATTTTGTTTTCACCATGTGTATGAATATGCCCCAAAAAGACATTAGTACTAAATAGTTTTATGTACTTACTGTTATATTTGTGCACTTTTTTCTTTTTTCTTTTTTTTTCTTTTTACAGGACCCAGAGCAGAGGGCCTTGTTCCTTTTGAATGTGATCCTCCATGTGGGTAGTTAAACTAATTTTGCCTGCCTGGTGCTTTTTGAAGTATCTAAGTAGTAACCAGTAGACTTTGTCGAGTTGGGATTTCCATTAAAAATTAGGTTAACAACTGCCGTTCAGATTATTTGACAGCCTTCATGCCATCACATAGACCTCCTAAATAGGCCTTTAGGACCAGTGAATGCGGCATAGGCATTCACCTATTCTTAATAAATAACAAGCAGGCAATCTCTGTTTCCTATGTGAAAAACTACCTAGTTCTGAGGAAACTGTCCTTATCTTGCTTTAGGTTTAATAAGATTATGGTCCTTTCACCTTTAGGCCACTGTATGGCCCTTTTAAAGATTGAACTGTTTCCTTTTATATAACTAGAATTTGATAAGGCATTCTTTGGTCTTAAATCTCACATATACACTGAGGGAATGGGGCAATTTCTGGGAATCATAGACTTTTATAGAGTGCTATATCACCTTGCCCGTGAATTCACTTGGCGACTGTTTAAATTCAGGCCATCAGCCACTAGTTTCAGGTAAGCTGAGGTTGCTTTAGTCTCATGGGGATATAATTGACATTTATTGGTCCCATATTTGAGCCCTAACTTATAAGTTTTTAGGTAGCCTACAGATCCTTTACTTTAAAGTTTGTATATTTGCCTTGGTTAAAAAGAAACAGTTTGGGGGCCGGCCCGGTGGCGCACTGCGCTAGTGCGCCGCTTGAGAAGCGCGGCGGCGCTCCCGTCAAGGGTTCGGATCCCACATACAGACCGGTTCCCGCTTACTGGCTGAGCGAGGCGCGGGGGCAACACCGAGGGTTGCAATCCCGTTGCCGGTCCCCGGTCCGGTACGGGGGCGACACTGATGATCCTTTACTTTAAAGTTTGTATATTTGCCTTGGTTAAAAAGAAACAGTTTGCCTTAGACAGGTCTTTAGAGTTAATATTGTGAAATGTCTTTGTTGAAGTATGCATAGCAGATTAGTGATTTTTCACTTTTCTTCATTTCCAAATACCACTCAAAGTTTGTTTCAGTAGTTAAACTAGTTTTGTTAAAATATATATATTTATATAATCTATGATAGTGTTACTACTATTAAAGTATTATCTATATGAATTTATTTGAATATCAGACTGTTTTTGGAAAACAGGTTAGATATTACAGCTTAGACTTCAAAAACAATAGATATAATATGTTCGTTTCTGATTTCAGGATGAACTATTTTTGAGCTCTTATACACATAGCCATATCATATCTGATACTGTTTGAGGGCCTGGGGATAAAGCAGTAAACATGATATTCAGCCCCTCCCCTCATGGATCTTATATTCTAGGCATTTTTCTGTTTCAGAAATAAAATGTTTATGTTACTAGAACTGTCTCCTGTCTAGCTTTAGCATGTCTAGGTGGAATAATCATGCTGTAGAATTCTTCATTAGTGCATATTTACTTGTTAGTTTGTGATGGTTTGCCTTTTGTCATACTTTGTTAAAATATGAGATAATGTATTAACATAAGCAGGTAAGACTTCATTACAGCAAATGTTTTGAGCATCTACTACGTGTAGTTCACTGTGAGAGGTGCTGGAGATTCAAACCATCCCTCTCCTCAACGGGCGTACAGTGTAGTTGGGGGAAAAGGGCATATAAATACAATAGGTAAGTAATTCGATAATTCAATTCAACAGATATTTATCTATTGAGTACCTGCTATGTGGTAGTGGGCACTAGGATAGGCATTTGTAACAGGGATGAATAGGACAAGTTCCTGCCCTCACAGAATTCACATTTAAGCCAGATTGTCAAACAGTTATTACAGTGTGAAGATTCCTGTCAAGCACATTGTAGGATTTCCCTTTCCAAGGTTGTAGAGGAGGTAGTAGAGTGAGAATTGATTATATAAACTTAAACATGAAAGACAAATTGGAGTTAACCAAGTAAAGAGAGGGACAAGGGCATGGAAAGAGTATTCTTCATGGAAAATCCAGAGGTGAGAGAGAGTTCAGTATATTCAGGGAAACTGCAAGTACTTTAGTATTGCTGAAGGATGGAGTATTGTTGAGAAATAGTGAGAGATGAGGCTAGAGAAAGAGGGATGAAGAGAATCATGAGGGACCTCTAGGCTTTATCCTGGGGGGTAGTAGGGAGCCATCAAAGAATTGTAAACATTGGATTATTAGATTTCTTTTAAGGCAGATGATTGGATGCAGTGTGTGCAGCATGGATTGAAAGCAGGCTCATGTGAAGTGCCCCGTATATGCGGTAAGGGTGTTAAGGGTAATCAGTGAGAAGCAGCAGAGAACTGAGATGAGAAAGGCATGTTTGATCTTGTCATTGAAGAAGGGACCTAGATTAAATGAGGAAAAAGGGAAACCCTTTTGAATAGGTTGTAAAAGGTGTGAGCAAAGGTACATGGCATATTCCTAGTAAAGATTGGTGGAGCAACTGACTAGTTAGTCGTAAAATTCGAGAGGTTAAGAACTTGATCCATTGACAAGTCACTCACTTGTTTTAGAGCAAGATGTCATTTGTGCAAGTTCATGTTATAGACTTGGACTCTAGTAATAGCATTCAGGAGGGCCAGGGTGATTAGTAACAAGGGAGAAGGGGGCACATTAGGATTTAGGAGCAGTAATTTGACCCCAATCTTGGTACATTTGGCTTTGGTTTCAGTACATAAATGTATCAATTTGCTATTTTAATTATAACATTTTAAAGCTTCTTTGCATCAATGTATCTTATTTCTAACATTTAAATGCTTTTATGTGAAACGTTGGGAACTTCAAATATACTTAGTATTCCTTAGAATCTTGATTTCTCCCTTTTTTTCTTGTTCTCTGAGAAATCAGCATAGTTTTGACCCTGAACAATATTAAGAAGGTTGCATATGGCAATTTTCTTTCATACTTCCTTAGAATACCCATGTAGTATTTGTGTGTATTCCTTTTATTGGTCAAATATGTAATTATTAGAAAGATTAGAAAATAAAAAAAAAATCTATAACGCAACTTCTGTAGCCATTTTGACATGTCAGTTGTGTATTCTAGATTATTTTCTCCATGTGTATATACAAGTATATATACATTTAACACAAAGGAGATCATATTTTATAAAGAACTCTGTAATTTAATGTGAACATCTTTTCATGCTAATAAATAAATTGCAACTTCTGTAGCCATTTTGACATGTCAGTTGTGTATTCTAGATTATTTTCTCCATGTGTATATACAAGTATATATACATTTAACACAAAGGACATCATATTTTATAAAGAACTCTGTAATTTAATGTGAACATCTTTTCATGCTAATAAATAAATCCCCCAGTTATCCTCTAAATAAGAGATCTGTGAGGGTAGGGTGGGGCACAACAGCCACCCAAATAGCAAAATGTTACTGAATAATTAAATTTTACCACCTTTCTATTTTTGCCAGCTTCAGTATTAGATACAGCACAGCAGCCACCTGAAGAGCAAAGCAAGTCTCTTGAAAAACCAAAACAAAAAAAGAACCGCTGTTTCATGTGCAGAAAGAAAGTGGGACTTACTGGTAAGGGTCTAAATCAAATGGTTTAAAATTTAAGATCATATTGGCTTACTATTATTGACTTCAGCTAAGATTGTTTCTGTTCCTGTGAAGGCTAATAATGGATATATTTCAGCTTCTGAATTTTCATAAATAAAAATAGCTTTAATTATATTCCTAAAAGTGAAATGAAAAGCTTTTCTTTTAAAAATTCATTTCAGCTGAATTTGAGAGTCTTAGACAAGTAAGATCAGTGTGCCAGGTGCTATGAAAGGGCAAAGGTGTAGCTCCTGCCTTCAAGGAGAGAATATTTTAAAAGACTTGGTGAGCTGTGATGTACTTCTCATATGTGAAATGGAGCTAATCACAGGTGTGTGGGTTTGGTGAGTTATGAAATATAAGCAGTTAGCCCCGGTACTGCCACACAATAAGTAATCAGTATACGTTGGCTGCTGTACCATAGTTGTTAGATGGTATTGTTATTAAGAGAGGGAGAAAAAAATATTTAGCAGAGAAGGTACATAATTGCAGTCAGGTTGCTCTGAGAATTCAGGGACAGGAGTACCTAGACTTATGTAAAAGGTGGAGTAGAGGCCCAGCAAGGAAAGTACTATGAAGGCAGAGTGTTTCAGCTGCATCCTGAACAATGAGTAGGACTTACGAGTGATGGAAATAGGGGCATTTGAGGCAGAAAGAATAGCTTGAACAAAAGCCCAGAGAAAGAATAGGGCATGTTCAGGGATCATGAATTGGGGAATGTAGCTGCAGCACAGAATATGTGAAGAAGGGTTTGTGTGCTGCAGTCATACAGGAGTAGAGGGAGAAGGCTGAAGATATGTACTGTGATTAATTGGTGGAAAGCCGTTGCAGCTATAAATAGTTACCATATATTGTTCACCACGTGGGCCAGGCATTGTGCTGAATACTTTGTATAAAAATTTGACATCTGGACAGAGAAGTGTACGGAAGATTTTGAGCAAAATTGTGCTTAGGAAAACTACTTCTGACTAAGGAATGCATTGGAGATAAGAGAGGAGATTAAAGCTTGATAACAAAGATGTTTCAGACTGGTTCATACCTTGGTAAATGTATGTTTATTTAAAGAATAGAAACATGAACAAATAAGACATTTTAAAATATACATATTTTTATCATTTGTATCATACTTATTTGTACCATATTTGATTAGAAGGTTGAGATTTAGTAATTTTCATTTTGTCTGATCTGTCAGTCTAATCTAGTGTTATTGCTTTGTTTTTCATTCATTATTATAAAGTTACAAAATATGTTTTGTTTTTGTTATTTGTTTTTTTAAAAGATGACCGGTAAGGGGATCTTAACCCTTGAATTGGTGTTGTCAGCACCACGCTCTCCCAAGTGAGCCAACGGCCCATCCCTATATAGGGATCCGAACCCGTGGCCTTGGTGTTATCAGCACCACACTCTCCTAAGTGAGCCACGGGCTGGCCCTTAGAACATGTTTTTGAAGTAAAAAAATGTGGTAAAGGAAGTTAACATTAAATGTCGGTGTTTAAAATATTGATTCCTATGCTCCATTTTCAACAATTCCATCATACCTTAAAATCCTAACTTAGGAAGCAGGACCAATTTTATATAAAGACTATCCCTTACATCTCTATTTTGGCTTCAGCTCTTTGGGCATTTCTCTAAAATTAAATAGCATGTATCTTGTGCATACTATATGTTAAGTACTTAATACATTCTTCATTTAATTCTTACAATAACTTATTCCAAAATTACAGATGCATAAACTGAGGCTCAGAGAGGCTAAGTAATTTGCCTGTGTTAGTAAGTAGTTTCATACTTAGGCAATGTAACTCTAGATCACATGCTCTTAATCTCTCAGCTGAAGTACAGTTCATATCTCTAGTGGAGGTTAGCAGAGGAAAGTCAATGTGGATACTGTGTTAGTTGTTAACAGTTCTTTGGGAGGTTTTATTTGATTTTTCTTGAATAAATTTAAAGATTGCCTTCTGACACAGCTTATTTACCCACTGTAATATTTGGACTTGAAAAATGTTTCAAATTCTCAATTTAGCAACCATTTTTTTTTTCCTTTTTGTCTTTTTTCGTGTCCGGCAACGGATCGCAACCCTCAGTGTTGCGCCCGTACCGGACCGGGACTGGCAACGGGATCACAACCCTCGGTGTTGCCTTCTGACACAGCTTATTTACCCACTGTAATATTTGGACTTGAAAAATGTTTCAAATTCTCAATTTAGCAACCATTTTTTTTTTCCTTTTTGTCTTTTTTCGTGTCCGGCAACGGATCGCAACCCTCAGTGTCGCGCCCGTACCGGACCGGGACCGGCAACGGGATCGCAACCCTCGGTGTTGCGCCCGCACCTCGCTCAGCCAGTGAGCGGGAACCGGTCTGTATGTGGGATCCGAACCCTCGGCGGGAACGCCGCCGCGCTCCCAAGCAGCGCACTGTAGCAGTGCGCCACCGGGCGGGCCCTAGCAACCATGTTTTTGATAGGAAGTAATTGTAGCCACATCACTGGTAAAGAAACTTGAGCTTGAGAAGTGGTTAACCTTGCTGTAGGACAAAACTATTTGTAGATATGAAATGAAGCTATCAGGTAATAAAGTTTGAGAATGCAGTTCGTGAAACTGTATTTGGAGTGATTCTTTAGATCACTGCCTGAAATACATAATGCTGTTTTAGCATTAATTATGCCAAAGAACTTAATATTTTGCTCTTCTATCCAACTCACATATGTGTATTAATCCGTTTTCAGGGTTTGAATGCCGGTGTGGAAATGTTTACTGTGGTGTACACCGTTACTCAGATGTACACAATTGCTCTTACAATTACAAAGCTGATGCTGCTGAGAAAATCAGAAAAGAAAATCCAGTAGTTGTTGGTGAAAAGATCCAGAAGATTTGAACTCCTGCTGGAATACAAAATCCTTTGACCATCTGCAAACTAAAAATTGACTTGAGGTTTTTTTTCCTAGTCATTGGGAATGTAGAGCAATGTATCTTGCATAGACCTTCTAATCATGCATGTCATCAGAAGAATAGATTTTTGTTTTGTTTTGAAAATGACTCTGAACATTTATTTCCATTGCAGTTTCTGTGGCTGAAAAGACTTAAACTTTACAAGTATTATCCTTTTAAGATCATTTTAATTTTAGTTGAGTGCAGAGGGCTTTTATAACAAACACGGAGAAATTGTGGAGGGCTGTGATTTTTCCAGTATTAAACATGCATGCATTAATCTTGCAGTTTATTTTCTCATTGTGTATGTATATATAGCTTTTCTCTGCAGCACGATTTCTCTTTTGATAATGCCCTTTAGGGCACAACTAGTTATAAGTAACTGAATGTATCTTAATCATTATGGCTGCTTCTGTTTTTTCATTAACAAAGGTTATACATATGTTAGCATATAGTTTCTTTGCACCCACTATTTATGTCTGAATCATTTGTCACAGGAGAGTGTGTGCTGATGAGATTATAAGTTTGTGTGTTTTAAAATTTTTTTGAGCAAAGGAAGAAAAGGCTGTATGCATTTCATTGCTGCCTACAGATTTCTTTCAGATTACGTTCATTTGTCTGTGTGTATACAATATGAAGAATGATCTGAAGTAATTGTGCTGTATTTATGTTTATCCACCAGTCTTTGATTAAATAAAAAGGAAAATCAAAATGCTCTCTTGTATTGCTTTTTCTCTTAATTTTTTCTGGCAGTTTTTTTTTTTTTTTTTTTTTTTTTTTTTTCTCTACTTTCCTGATTTTGTAAGAGTACTACTGTTGTTTGTCTCACATCTATTTATGACTGATCTTGTGATGACAAATTTTAATCTTACATTCCTGTGAGTTAAAGACCTCAGCATTTCTTCAAAGCCAAGAACTTCTTTCTGTCACTTAGATGTCTGTTTTCTAGATCTTGTCTGATTCTCTGTTCTGCACTCTGTCACATTGAATTAGCGTCTAATAGAAGCTTCTTTTTGTGGTAGGATTAGAGAAGATTTGTGGGGTGCAGTGTGTTGTTTCAGTATGTGCATATACTTACTGCACAGTGATTCACTTAGGGCAGATAGTGTAGTTTATACCGGTCAGTCTACCCCTTCTCCTCTCCTGGCCTCTGCTAACCATTATTCTACTATCTACTTCTATGAGTAGTTCTCTACTTTCCTGATTTTGTAAGAGTACTACTGTTGTTTGTCTCACATCTATTTATGACTGATCTTGTGATGACAAATTTTAATCTTACATTCCTGTGAGTTAAAGACCTCAGCATTTCTTCAAAGCCAAGAACTTCTTTCTGTCACTTAGATGTCTGTTTTCTAGATCTTGTCTGATTCTCTGTTCTGCACTCTGTCACATTGAATTAGCGTCTAATAGAAGCTTCTTTTTGTGGTAGGATTAGAGAAATTGAAAGAGTATAATTCAAACAGCAGGGCACTTGGAGAATTGTGGAATAGAAAGAACTTCAAACAGTTATTTTATATTATGGTTTCCAAACTTACCTGGCAGCCACTCATTTTTAAACATAAAATGATATATAAAATAGATAAAAGCAGTATTTTATGATGCAAATTTCTAGGTTTAAAATTGTTTACTTATTACTTTACGTACATGTTCTCTTTAAGTATATAAGGATGTTTTAATATTAAAATCTATACATTTATCATATTAACAGATTAAAATGAGAGTAAACCATACGGCTATCTTAATAAATTCATATGAAGTATTTAATATGATTTAACACCCATTCATGATTCTTAAAAAACTCTTGATAAATTAGGACAAGATAAGAATTTCCTTAAGCTGATAGTTTCTATGTAAAATTTACCGAATAAAAGCAAGCATCCACCAGAAAGGTAACTTATTCCTTTTTAAAGTCAGAAACAAAGGATGGCTGCCCACGGTCACTGCTTGTACTCAAAATTGTTGTGTTGATGATCCTAGCCAGTAGAGCAAGACAAGATAAAGTCATAAGAAGAAAGGAAACAATCATTATTTGCATATTATATGATTGTTTTTATAGAAAATCCAAACAAATCTAAAGATAAATTACTAGAAATAATAAGGTTTAGTTAGGTAGCCGGATATAACTTTTTTTTCAGAAGTCAGTTGCATTTCTTTACACCAGTTAACTAGAGAACCAGAAGACAAGATGTTAGAATACCAATTACTTAGGAAATTGACAATATATATTGAAGATCTCTTCAAAAAAAATTCCAAAACCTTAAGAGATAAGACCTCAGTAAATAGAGGGACATGTTCATGGATAGGAAGACAAAATCATAAACATGTCATTTGTCTCCATATATACCTTAGATTCAAAGTAATTCCAATCAAAATCCCACCAGGTTTTTTCATAGAACTGTAGTTGATTCTAAAGGTGAAAGAGCAAAGGGCTTGGACATACCAGAAAAGAACAGGGAGGTAGGGACTTGCACTGCCACATGTCAGGACTCACTGTGAAGAAGTGTTAATTAAAATAGCATGTTATTAAGGGACAGATTTCCCAATGGAATAGATTGCCCAGAAAAAAACCCATGCATGGACTGAATCTAGTGTAAGAGAAAAATGGCACATTTCATCAGGAGAGGAGACTGTTCGATGATAAGAGCTGGAACAGTTGGTTGTGTGTAAAAACATGAAGATTGATCCCTGTCTTGTGCCATAGGAAAAAGTTATGGACTTAAATGTGAAACAAAACTCTCGGGAGTGTGGGAGGGGGACTGCTTCCTACCTCTAGACTTTAGGATCGAGAATGACTTCTTAAGACACAAAACATTAACTCTAAAGGCATTAATGAATTTGTCCATTAAAACTATTAATTTTGATTCACCAAAATAGACCTTAAGGTATCTTTCTTCAATGAATGTGAAAAGACAGGTGACAAAGTGGGAGAAGTTAAATGCAAATCAAGACCACATTGAGATACCATTTCATACTCAGTTCAACTGGCAAAAACTTTAATGTCTAACAATATCTAGTGTTGGAGGAATTCCATATAATCTCTTACGCATTGCTGCTATTAGTGGAAAGTGGTCTTATCCTTCACAAAGTTTGGTATTACCTTTTAAGGTTGAGCTTTCACACATTCTGTAATCCAGAAATATCACTAAGTGTATACCCAAGAGAAACTCGCACAAAGATTAAATGGGAGGCACATACAAGAATTTTCATAGCACTGTTTACAAAAGCAAAAACCCAGAAACAACCCTAGTCCCCACTGAAGAAGGGTGGATGAATAATATGTGATATATTCATACAATGTAATATTATATAGTATCCAAAACTAATGATCCACAGTGACATAATAAAGTAAAAGCAAGAAAAAAAAATTCTAGAAGTATATAACAAGCTTTAGAAGTATAGTAAGAAGTATTGTAAGCAAAAATAGTCTCAAATATATAAAACATGGTCACCTACAAAAAGTTTTAAAGTACATGTGCAAGTCATAGATGGAATTTATTTGAAAAGAGAGTGGTGATAATGAAAAATCCAGAATGATACCTTTAGATGAAAGGAGGCAATGGGTGGGTTAGTAAGTGGTACCAGATGGTCAAGGCCCCAGCTTTTTTTGGGGGGTAATAGGTTTGGGATGCTTAGATGACTGAATGCAGGCTTTTTGTTAAACAATATTAAGAGTGTCATGAACCAAGGATTATGATTAACCCAATTTTCTGTATCTAGAGTCTGAAGTATTAAAAGGAAAGTTAATTATAAAGCTGTTTTGATGACTACATTTTGAAATTGGAGGTTATGCATGAAATGTCTGTTCAATCAGCCTCAGTGTTCAATTTGGGGTTTTTTTAATTGTCACAAAAATCCATTCACACAGTCTTGCAGCTTCACTTCACCTAAATACCAAAACCATAAATTACAAATTCTCTCATACTTTGGTCTTCTATACTAATTTGCCTGGGATTTCTATGCTCAGGTCTAGCGCAAAGTGACCTTTCCCCTAATTTTCCTAGAATGCTAACTTGTATTACACAGTGCAATCTTAACATTATTCCTTGACTCTAAGCACATGACTCAAAAGCCATGTTTTTTCTGATGCGAAAACAGTCTATACTTAACTGGTAATGGCTAGACTTCCCCTTTCTCCTAGAGTTTCTACAACATCTAAATAGATATTGTTGGCAATTTAGGAAAAGATGTGTAATTTGTTGTGGCATCTTTTCAGAGATTGGCTTCCTGGCCTTTTGTTTTTCCTTTTTTATCATCACATCAATATTAATTCAGAGCCAGTAGAATATAAAGTCAAGAATATGGAAGTAAGAGATGGATAGAATCTAACCAACAAAAAATCTTAGCAACATCTGGAAACCTATTATAGGGGTAACTTTTTGGAGTCTCAAAAGGACGTTAACAGCTGTAACATTAAAATGTGGCTCCACAGAAATGAAAGAGGGGCCATTACTGCTGATCTTATGGGCATTAAAAGATAGTAAAGGAATATTTTGAACAACTCTATGTACACAGATTTGATAATGTGTAGATGAAATGAACCATTTCCTTGAAAGACATAATCTTCCAACCAAAACTCACACAAGGAGAAATAGATAATCTAACAAGTTTGTATCTGTTAAAGAAATTGAATTAATTGCTTTCTTAAAAAAAAAAAAAAAAAAAAAAAAAAAAAAAACAAGCCCAGATGGGTTCACTGGTGAATTCCACCAAACATTTAAGAAAGAAATACTCAACCAGTTACTAACAAATAGAACCTAACATGTTAAAAATAATTTTATACCACAACCAAGCAGGATTTATTTCAGGTATGCAAGGCTAGTTCAACATTTGAATATCGATGTAATCACATCAACAGGCTTAAAGAAGAAAAATCATTATGTGCCGAAGTCCAGCTTCAGCAAGGGGTGGGTACCCGAAAAGGAAGAGAGAGGGTCGGCAAAAATAACAAGCACAGATGGAGACCTCAGTGCATCAATATGCACGTTCTCTCTCTGTGGGCTGTCAGTGTGTTGCAGCTGGAGCCCAGTAGAGCATGAGACAATGCCTTTTATTTAGATTTTTCTCTGCAGGGGGGTTTTGGGTACTATTTTTATTGTATCAGCAAGCTCAAATCAATAGTCCAAAAAGCAGGGAGAAAACTTTTTTAGAGGTCAGCCAGTCCTTTCCTTTTGTGAGCATGTCTCAGGTGATCAACTCGTGCTTCTTTTTTCCTGGAATCAGGTTATAAGATCTGAACCATCCCTTCATTGTCTTGAAGTTATCTTGTGACCTTTTTCTGTTAGCAAGCTGTGGTTAATATCCCCCCTGTTAACGGGGTGGGAGCCAAATGTAAAAAGAACAGTGGATATTTGAGCAGCATTATCATGCACATTTTAAGGTTATGCATTGGCTGTGGCCCTGTAATCTTGATCTAAATGTCAAAGTGTCATTGTGCACAGTACCATCCCAGTAGCACGCTCTTATTTTTCTAAGATCTAATTTTGCAGGTTTAATAATTTTACAGCATATATTTTTATCCCAACACCTGACTCTTAATGGTTTATTTAAAACTGGACACCACCAAGTAAAGGGGGTTCTATAGTTTCATTCCCACATACTTAATTTGTCCCAATCATATAATTTCTCATTAATGCCAACCATTCTCTTGCCATTAATACAATCTCCAATAAATGATGTTTGCCAACTTACATCATATTTTGGATGTCCCCTGGGAGG